GTGGGGGCGGGGCCCGCGTCGCAGGTTGTGTGACTTTGGGTTTGACCTGCCTGGAGATGAGCTAATCCCGCCGTATAATAGACTCCGGGGAGATAGGGAAAATGGCTGCGGCGCTATCTGCGTCGCCATGGGGACCATCGCGCGCGCGCGGGCGGGGCGCGAGCCTGGAAAAATACAGCCTTTGTCGGCGGCGCGTGTCACTCACGGCGCGGGGACCTCAGGCAGCGGGCTCGGGCTTCCTTGTCCCAGCTGCAGAGGCTCTGAGGCTCGGATGCCTGGGTGTCCCCAAACTCCACGGACAGCCCCTCTTCCTTCCACACTCGCACTTTCCGTTTTGGTCAAGAAAGTCTTCCGTGACACAGCATGTTCCACCCCATCGCTCTGGCGTCTGTCATCGCCGCACACACCATTCCCTGTCGCTTCCCCAGCCCGGAATCCACCCACGCTGGCAGATAGACAGGCCCCGACGACTGCCCTTCCCCCGTGCCCCTCTCGCAGCTCACCTGGGCACACCTGGGCAGAGATACAGCAGGACACACACAGCCTCACACAGACCCGAGCACACCCCAAAGGCACGCCGGGCGGGAGCGGTGACACTTGCACGCTCATGCCCGGCAGGCACAGGAAGCTTGTGTGCCGCGAAACACATCGTAGGGTGGGCAACTGCATGCACACAGCACATCCACCCTAGTGGCCTCCGGCGTGCGACCCTAAACAGCCACCTCCAGAGCAGACACAGTGAGGCACTCGCGGGATGCTTATCCGCTGCCCTCGGACACGCGGGCTTGCACTCCCATTCCTCCGCCACGTGTCCAGCCACCCTGGGCCGCATGCCTGCCCACAAACTTAGTGTGGCACCGCCTCCTGTGTGGACCCTCCAACCGCCTCATCGGCCGCCTCTGGGCACTTAGCACACACGCATGAGTGTGTGAAACATGCATTTCAAAGATGTAGTCATATATGCAGTTGCCCACAACCCAGATACCCAGACACAAACACCCACTGCAACACACATCAATTCATACATGGAGCTGTACATAGACATGCAGACACACTCGGATACATCTCCTCCGGGCGCTCAGCACACACGCCTGCCATGCGTGTGCATGGATGGGCTCACATACTTGCCCTTTTTTGTGGTACACTTGTTTTACACACCCGCACACTTGCATCGGCGTTAGCCCATGCACTGGCACACCGCGTGTCCATCCAAACACGCCGGGCACACCGGGGCGCGCACTCAGTGGCCCTGGAAGGCAGGCGGGTGGTGCGGGCACGGGGAGCCCGCGTGCCCCCAGCGGACGGCTATCTGCCTGCCCATCAGCGCGCGGATCTGCGGTGGTAAATGATGCATTCGATGGCGGGCGCATTTGTTGTGCGCTCTCTGAAAGGGCTGCGATAATCTGGAAGGCAGAGATAAGGAACACCATTTATTCCGCGGCACTTTGGAAACAATTCCCAGCCCTGTACAACCCCATTCTCCCGCAGCCTTCGGGAGCCGGGCAGATAACGATTGGCTATTCATTATCTTCGCCGGGAACAAAGATTAGCCGGCCGAGATGAAAAATTACCCCGGACAGCGGCGCAGCTCCGCGCGGAGCCCCCTGCCCGCTGCCACCACCCGTGCCTTGGTGTCCCGCCCTGCCCGCGTCCCGCAGCTCATGCCCAGCCCAGCCTCGCCCGGCTCCCGGCCTCCCGCGCGTTCTTCGAGCTTGGTGGCTAAGCCCTGTCGGTCTTTCCATCTCAGTCTGTCCATCCCATCCTGCCCATCTTTCCTTTTTATCCCCACTCTTCTCTCTGGGGCCCTTCCCATCCCTTTCCCTCTTCTAGCATTGGCTCTTTGAGCCTCTCTGGGGTTCTCTTCCCATCTCTCTATTTTTGTCTTATCTCTCTGTCCTCTCTTATCTCTCTCATGTCTCTGTCCATGTCTCTCTGGTTATCTTCTCTGCTTTTATTCCCATCTTTCTAACCCTTTCTGCCACTTTTTAGTTGTTTATTTCTGTCTGTCTCCGAGTGTCCGAAGTCCCAGGCCTGTCCCCACCAGTGCCTCTTCCTCATTGTTTTTAAAACATCTGTCCTTGGGCCTCCCATCTCTTTCCCCACTCCTTGTCTCTCTGGATCTTTCTGTCACCGAATCTCCATTTCTCTTCATCCACCCCACCCTGAGGGCCCCACATCTCCAGGCCTCATACCTCCCGCCCTCTCAAGGCTGTGAACCTGGCCACAGACCAGAGACTGGAAGGCTCCAACCAGCTCTGGCCTGGCCAGCCCAGCCCCGCCTAGTAGGCAGGAGGCAGGTGGGGTGCGGAGGTGCAAGGCCTGGAACCCCCTTTCCAAGGAAACAAGACAAGTAGAAAAGGCCCCATAGGCACCCAGGTCCTGCTCCTGTGCTTCAGACAAGCTCTCCCATGCCCCTCCCCAATGAGGCCCGGGGCCTTGGGATCCGGTGGTCCCAATGAGGACACCTCATTAGAGCAGTTATTCAGCATGGCGCTGGCGACAGCAGATAAGCCTTATCATCTCATCTCCCCTCCCACAGACAGACAGAAAGTGCCCGAGCAAATGGTACCCTGGAGCTCCACTGGCGGCCTGCCCTGCTGGTTAAGGAAGGTCTGGATGGTGGGTGATCCTGCAGGATGCACACCCTGCATGTCACAGAGGACACACTTTTCCACAGTCCACAGAACAAGGCAGTGCTGGCCACAGAAACATGCATTTCAAAGATATAGTCATATATACAGTTACTCACAACCCAGATACGCAGACACAAACACCCACTGCAACACACATCAATTCATACATGGAGCTGTACATAGACATGCAGACACACTCGGATACATCTCCTCCTCCCCACCATCAGTTCAAAGATACAATGATATACAATGATACCTATGCTGTTAAAGACAGATGCACACACACACAGCCAAATGCATGTTCAAATACACAAACACAGGCCCCAACAGCCATCAATTAATAAACAGAATTATACATGGACATCCAGACACATGCAACATACCACACACACACCTACACATACACTAGTTCAAGGACACATGCAGATACCCAGGTACAAACTATTAAAGACACACACAGGCCAGGCGCAGTGGCTCATGCCTATAATCCCAGAAGTTTGGGAGGTCGAGGTGGGAGGATTGCTTGAGTCCGGGAATTTGAGACCAGTCTGGGCAACATAGTGAGATCATGTTTCTACAAAAATAAAAATAAATTAGCCAGGCATGGTGGCACATGCCTGTGGTCCCAGATACTCAGGAGGCTGAGGTGGGAGAACGGCTTAAGCCTGGGAGGTTAAGGCTGCAGTGAGCGGTGATTGAACCACTGCACTTCAGTCTGGGTAACAGATCAAGACCAGGTCTCAAGAAACAAAACAAAACAACAACAACAAAAATACATACAGTTTAACACATGCCTAGATACATGCACATACACAAACACACACTCCAAAACACGCCAATTCATAGACATGCCACACACTGCTACAGACACACAGGCAAACACTTGGAAATCCCCACCCCTCTTTACACGAGTCTCTGACATGATGACCCCACAGACACAGAGCCAAAGGGACACACAACCATTTCCACAGACACACTCTCTTGTGCCAGCTTCCAGGGTCATGCTCTGAAATAGCCACATTGTGACCTACTGCCCAATACACAAACTCTCAGGAACCCACAAGAAGAAATGGACATACTAATACATCCAGTTTTGCAGACACTCCTGTGTGCTCGTAAGTGTGCACACACCTGGGCACACAGGACATAGACTGTGAGCCACACGCATAGAACACACAAACAATGCAATAGTCACCACCAGATTTGGAGAAAGACCTATAGACAGCAGGTGTCACAAAGACCAGGGGACAGAAACACTCCTCTGGGGCACACCTGGGCACAGGAGCACAGATTTCCCAGTCCTTCCAAGCCCAAGCACTTTCTCTCCGGGCCTAAGGTCCCCAGGTCACTCTTTGATCTGCTGGGATGGGAATCAGGGGTCGGAGTGGGGGGACACTGACTGGCTGAATCCCTTAGTAAGAACTTTGGCAGCACAAGAACTGAACTCTCTTTGCCCACAAACCCAGGGGCCTTCTGGGGATGAGGACTCCCACACTCCCTTTCTCCCCTCCTCCTGCCCCCCACTTCTGTGAACAAGCCCCCTGCACCCTTCCTTGCTTCCCCCATTGTGAGAGTCTGCCCCAAGGAGATGGGCCAGGGGGACGCCAGACAGTGGACCTCTAAAGTGCTCAGGGTCCCCCAGAGTTAGGAACTGGAGTGGGGGTGGGACAGGGAGAGGGGCTGCCCCTGCACTTAGCTAAACCAGCCTGGCAGTGAGGGCGTCCAGAGTGTGAGCCAGAGTGCCGAGTTGCATCTGATTGTGTGACCGTGTGTGTGCACATGTGTGTGTGCACACACCGTGTGTGTGCACAGCTGCGTGCACATGTGCAGGGATGTGTGCGTGTCCGTGTGAGCACTCCTGGAAGTGGGTTGAAGACAGAGGAGCGGGCGTCTGTGTACCATTGTCAGTGAGTGCGTGTGCCCACAGCTCCTGAGGGTCCCCAGGGAGAGTCTCCGTAAAGACGTGTCCCAAGCTTTCTGAGCGAGCATCCCTGAGGTCAGGGGCGCGCGTGTGCGCTCCAGAGAGGGCGGGAGCGGCCTGGAGTGTGGATGCGCAGGGTGTGCACGCCCTGAGTGCCTAGCGGCCCTTGGCTGGCCAGGCGGCTGGACCTGGTAGGCCGGGTGCAGAGCCCCGGGCACCCTCCTGCCCCCTGCGGCGCTCCCGCCCCCGTCGCCACCCCCTGCCCCCCCGCAAAGTGATGTCGAAATAAAAAGCCGCGTTGCGGCCGGTGGGGGAAGAGAGAGGCAGCGTGAGCACAAGGAAGGTAGGAAGGCCAGCGCCGCCGCAGGGGCTCGGTGCTCAAGTCTGTCCGTTGCCTGCCGCCACCTCCATCCTAGCAGGGCCCCATCGCCCACCAGGCGGATAAAAGCAGTCCGCTGAACACCATGCGGCCGCTCGGCGTGCCGCCCAGGCTCTGCTGGTGAGCGCCGCCACCCCGCGCCCAGGTCCCGCGAGCCCGCCTGCCGCGCACCTCGCCCTGCTCCCAGCTCTGCTCCGGCCCCGTCCGCCCGGGGGCGCCGCCCACCGCGCCTCGCTCGGTGAGTTCCCTTCACTTCCATCCGCCCGGGCCGGGCCCTTTCCGCCCCCGGCCAGGCCCGGCCCGCCTGGCACCCGAATCTCTTGGTCCGTTTGCCCTGTGGCCCCTACCTTTGGGGCTCGCCTTGGCCCTGCCAGAGACCGGAAACCCTGGTTATAGGGACTTCAACCAGAGGGAGTATTTGGTGACCTGGGCACAACAGGCCCGCCTCGGGCCTCCTGTCTTCCCATTTCTCCGAGCCACAGGCCACGAGACCCCGGCATTCCCAAAGCCTGGCAAAGCACCCCCGCCTCCTGGCCCCCGAACTCTGGGCCTTTGTCTCGGTCGCCCCCAACCCCCAGGCCGCGGCGGCGGATGCGTCCGAGCCGGGCCGCCGAGCGACGGCTGCACCTGCCGGCTGGTCCCGTGCGCCGGCTTTTCGCGGCTTAACCCGGCTCGCTCCTGTTTGCGCCCCCGCGCGCTGCGCCCCGCAGACCTTTATCCTGTGTGACTGGGGTGCGTGTGGGGGAGAGCGCCGGGTCTGGAAGTCTCCCCCCACCCCAAGCCGGAGTCTGAATCCGTTTAGTGGGATTTCAATAAGAATGGGGCCGCCGCGGGCTCGAAGATCTGCCGCTGGTAGGCTTAGACGGCGTTCTGGATCTGTCTCAAAACCGGGCATTTAAAATTATTCGGTGGCAGCCAGGCTTGAACTCCGGGTTGCTCCAACTCCGAGGGGAAAGGCCCCGCGTTCAGGGCCCCCATGTGTGGCGGCCGCTTCTTTATCGGAAAACAAGGAAGGAAATTCGTTGTTTTGGAAAAAGCCTCCTCTCCCGAGGTTGGGAACATCTGGTGGTGAGCTCCAGGTCTACGCAGGCACCCCGTACTGGGATTCGTTTATGAGCAGGCAGGATTCGAGAACCAGGTAGGGCCCGTGCGGCAGCCGAGGCGTCTGGAGAGCGTTTCCCAGGCGGGTTGACAAATTGCAGACAAATTGTGTCTAACGAAACGGATTTACCAGTTGTCAGGCCGCCGGCCCCTGTCGCTCCGAGTAAACCCTCCGAGTAAACCGTGGCTGTTCGTGGAGGAGGGAGAAGCATGGCCCGATTGTCTCCGGGTCTCAGCAGGGTCCCGCGGGAAGCCTGCCAGGCTTGAAGGTAGGGGTCAGAAGCCAGAAGCGATATCGAATCTCGGAGGCGCCTGGGTCCAGGGTGCCGAGACACCTAGGACGTGGGGGCCACAGACTCTACGATTCCCAAAGACGTAGAACAGGAATGGGGTGGGAGAGCCTGCACTGAGGCCGAGGGAGGGAGCCTTCTGCTTTGAGGGTCTGGAATTGAACCCCAAAGAGCAGGAGGGGCCGTTATAGCCGTAGTCCCTCCTTGGGCACACCCCCCTCCCCCCCAGGGATGGCTGCTGGCCTGAGATCTAATGCCTCAGCTTTAAGGGAACTTCTGAACCCATCTGCTAAGGCATCCCACTTCCTCCCCGTACCCCTCAAGGTTTATTGCCAATGTGGGACTGGGAGGCTGCTGGGTTGCGAATTAAATTTCTCTATGGAAGGTAATCCCATAGCAAATGGGTTTCCTTGACACCCCACCCCCAGCCCCACACTGCGGGCCAATTAGCTGCCCATAAGGAAAAGGCGAGAAGAATTAGGTTACAAAGGGAGGGCAAACTTATGGTCCCAAAGGGGCCACCTCGGATGAGCTAAGTTTAAACAAAGGGCTCAGAGGGGAGGGGAGACCTGGGCAGCTCTGTGTCCCACCTGGGACCAGCGGCTTAGTAGAGGCCTGAGAAGCACTCTAGAACCGGATACCAGATCTGCTACCTCCCCAGCTCCCAGGCAGAAACACCCAGGTCAAATTGTGGAGATCACCGCTGTGAGTTCTCGGGCCACTTGAAAAGGGCCCTTCGAAAATTCTGTTTCCAGACTGACCTTCTCCAGTCCTCGGAGAAATCTTGTTCCCAAGTAAGGAAAGTGACAGCTTCTTAATGTGATCAAAGGCAGCGTCAGCATTTCCAGCTATGCTCCCGAACAAACAAAATACTGAAAAAGGGAACGTGTCCCTCTGAAGGTGTTCTGGGGACCCCAAAGTCCCAGCCCATGAACTGGAGTAAATCTGCTGTCACCAGGCCTGTAACAGCGCCGCAAGACCCCAGCCGATTCTGGGGGCTGCGTTGCCCCTCCCCGGGAGTTTGTTTGGGGCCCGAGGTGGGAGGACCATGTCTTCGGCCTAGTGGGGAGGGGCCCGGTTGGTGTCCCTCGGTCTGCCTGACTCACACAGACATTGACGAGCGCGGGTCCCCCTTTACTGTCCATCTGGGCGCCCTGCTACCTGGCGCCGCATTTCTCTTTCCCAGGCGGGTTCGTTTCCGCCAGAGAATGCAGCAGTCCCGCATCCTACGCAGGACCTGCAACCGATGTGGAGGCTTCGGTCAAGCCGTCCTCTGCCTGCGTTGTCGAGGAAGGCAACCCCAAGGCCTGAAGGGACCTGGCAGAACTCCTCTTTCCTTTTTTTCCTCTAGACCCGGATTGCGGGCAAGGAGGCTGGTTCAGGTCTCCCGAGGCCCCCGCTCAAGCACTCCTTAGCCGTCCTGCTAAGCCCCTCCGTGCGCCGATTTTCTGAGCTGCCGAGCGGGGTAATTAAATCCCCTCCCTCGCTCCGCTCTGTGGCAAGGCAGGCGGCAGTGCAGGGCTGACGTTTGGGCAGGGGACTCAGCCACGCTGGCCACCTCCACTACCGCAGTGGCCGGGACCCTGCCGCGAAGGGGTTAGACGCGGAGCTCGCTGCGCTGAAACTGGGGATACACACAGAACGGGGGAG